GGAGAGGGAGAGAGAGAGAGCGTGGCATCCTCGTTGTAGGATCGAATCGACGTTCCGTTTCTCGTCCCGAAAATTTCAAACAGTAAATTGAAACTGTTTTTGCGGAATGGCGCTTAATTAAATTGCCCGTCGGCCTCCGCCGGCGTATTCGCGTGCGGTCCGGGGATGTGTCCGGATGCGCGTGGGGACGCACCGTGCGGCGGCGAGAGACGAGGATGGGACGAGCAGACTTTTAAAAGCGCAGCACGTGTTGCGGCCATACAGCGCACTCGTTTGTCGGGGTTCAATTATAAAAGGACGCTTCGAGCGCTGGTTAATAATGCATCAAATTTCGAAATTGACAAGACCCCTCTTGTTAAGGCGTCGCGCGTTGTTTCCGGCCCGAATAGGCTTTATTGTGCGATGCCCCGCTCACGTTCTAAAGAACAGGTTCTTTCTTTTTATCGAGCTCTCTCTCTCTCTCTCTCTCTCTCTCTCTCTCTCTATTTTGCATTCAAATTATTTTGTATTTTATGGGAATGCTTATTGCATAAAACTTCACTCGCAGAACCCAGTTAATCCATCATTAATATTCGAAATGAATCTTCTCACGAATAAAATTACTTGTTCCATGTTTTATGACTTTTCTTTAGCACCTTTAGATAATGTTTCTTAACGAACTAAAATATTGATAAATAGCGGTTATTTGAATCAAATTTAGAGCATTCTAACTTTTTTAAATTTGTAATAATCCTTTAATTGGACATGATTATTTTTATTTTTCCAGGAGGATCCAGGGCTCATTCCACGGCTTTGCGAAGGAATTTTTTCGAAGGTCGAACAAGAGAGTGGACACGAGAGGATCTATCGCGTGACTGTTAGGTAAATGCATTGTCCGATAAAAACTTTTTAAATTGCTCTCGGGAAAAAAACAAACATGCGTGTGAAGTTTGTAACGCAAATCCGCGACTTCAAAAGTAGATTTTCTCGTTTTGTGTCGCTCGCGTAAAAAACTGAATGTGACCGCACGGTGATTTAAATTTTCATGTCCATAGATTGTACTGTTTTGAAAAACAATCGTTAGAAAATAAAATATAATATAATATTCCTGATTATTTTAAATAATATTTTAAGTAATTATTAAATTATTAAATTAATAACGTAAGACATTATTTCTTCATTATTATCAGGAATTATGTAATCCCCGATATCCTGATACCGCTAACGCGGCTAACGCGATAAGAACGCCGACGAAAATTGTAAGTTCTCTCCGATACCATCGACAGGGAACTTTTCGATCGCCACTTAAGATGCTCGAAGTATTCAGATACTTTGTACTAAGTACTTGGGAAGATACTTGCGAGCCACGTTGCACGTACCTTTCCTTTTACCACCGGAAGTTCGCCGCAGCTTACCGCAGCCTCGATGAAATCTGCTCGCATTCTTTTATTTCTCGCGCAGCTGCCCGCTGCGGCGCCTCCGCATTTCCCTTGACTATATTAATCCTTCCCGAGCGATCAACTCTTATAAGCTTTTTCGTTCTCTTCAATTCGGCAAGTTTCAGCGCGAAATTAGAAATTGCGTATAATGTTTGCATTTTCTTATGAAGCGAAAAATTCAATAAGCGCGTAAAATGCTTCAATAAGATCATCGATTTTCGATAAGGTGAGGAAAAAATTTCAAACTAATTCTTCACGTATATTGAACAATCAATTTCACTATAACATTGATTAACATTGATTTGTTTGGAAAAAAAATATATTCAATTTTATTTAAGTATTTGTAAATTATTAGCTAATAAAAAATATTATAACATTTTAATTATATAGAATAGTATACGATACAATTAGTTATGAAAGTTATAGCATAAATTTGTTATTAACAATTGATAGATTATTTATTATCATATTGTCGTTGTTCGTACATCTTGGAAAATGGTAAATTTAATCACGCTGCAAGTCGAACAGATAGCCTTCGGAACGCCGATAACCTGGCCGCCTTGATAACTGTGGGAATATCAGCACCCTCGGTGCCCTTTGCTCGCAAACACCACATGAATACACGTACGTGAAATGTGGATACAGAATGATCGAAAAGTCACGAAACTCAAATGTATACGTGATACGGTATGCGGTGCTATTTATAGAAGTATTTAAATAATATAAAACTGTTATTAAAACATATGAATGTTTGTCCAACTAAACTGCCAAACTAAACGTAATTTATTCATTTTATTTTTACAAACATATTGTCGAAATAAAAACGAAAAAAAATTGTAGATGCAGTTGAACAGCAAAGCTATAAACAAATTTATTTTGTATATTTTAATATATTTTATAAAATCGTAAAGATGTATTGCGCTGTCTGTCGTAAAACACTGACAAAATTGAAATATATCGCTACATTCGGCAGCAGTGACAATTATAAAATAATGAAATATTTGACATTAATGCATGATATAAATGCATGATGTAGTATGTAATATTGAAGTTGTACCAAATCGTGTAACGAATTAACTGCAAACCGCGCACAACTTTCGATCACCATTACATGCTAGCTATCGTCAATAACATTAACGGCTTTCGGTCAAGGCCCGTCAATCGGCGTACTTTTATCTATTATCCTCAATAGCTTCAAGTTCGTTCCTTCCGTGTCGACGGCGTCGTTTGGCGCCTAATCGCCACCGCGAATTGCAAGCTCCGTTCGTACTCGCGATACGTGCCAGTAAAACTCCCGCAAGTATAATAATGACAAATTGATACTGCATCGAGTAGCGGTGGGATTCGCAAGAGTCGTTTCGCGTGCGCGTCGATCTATCGCCGTCGGCGCGCGGATTTACTATTTATTCCGCTTTAATCGCGTTCACATCCTCGTCCCACGTTCCGAAACAGCTCACATTCGCGGGAACAAATCGCTCGCGATAATTGCCAATCGGCAAAAATCCGCCGAGACACACTGCGCGCAGTTCGTGACGCGAATAAATGGACGGTTCGACTTCGCGTATTTCTGGCAGTCGTTAAATTCGGCGCTAGATGAAATCGAAGATTAGTTTGAAAAAAAATAGCTGGCATAAATTCAATTCTTCGATAATTGATCACTTCGCGAGCGCATCGAGGAGACAAGCTCACTGTGATTTGATTGTGACAAAGCTTTCAAATTTTCTAAATTGGTCCGTTTTTCAAATTTATCTTCATCTAAACATTGTTGGGAGGAGTTTCGATATTTTTGATTTAAATACCAGAAAATATAGAAATTGAATATCGAAATATAGATATTGAATCCTTTAACATTGCACAATTTGAAAATGTAAAAATCGAGATAAATATCCTCTGGACGAGAGGGAGGGAGAGAGAGAGAGAGAGAGAGATGCATATACTTAATTATCTACAGTTCCTACATAATTACTACCATTCTATGGTAAATTTTCTTTAGTGCACGGATTGAAGAGAATCTAGGAAAGAAAGTACTGAATAAGGTGAAGGGTTGCGGTGGGTGGTAGTGGAAGGGAGAGACGATAGACGTAGAGTCGAGTTTGCGAGTCGCGAGGCTTGCAAGCGCGGTCTGTTGGCCTGGATGTGTCTTGCAAGCTCAGTGCCCCGTGACTCGCAATCCTAGACGGACGCAATCTCGCTGCAACCGGGTAAGAATGCACCACGAACGTGCACCGTCGAATTTCCATTTCTTATGTCTCGCGTATTGCGACCGAAAAACACGGCAAGCTTGGCTTTTTAGAGACGTGACCTCTCGACACGTTGGTTCTAGACGCAGCACGCTAGACAATCCTTGGATTCTGTAGTCCTTGGATCCCTGAGATCTTAGAGTTTGAGATTCTCAAATTTCGAATTGCATTCCACGTTTGTGGACCTCTAAATTATAAAATTTTTGAATTCTAGAATTTTTAGGCTCACGCGTTTTAAAATTGTCAAAACGTTGTATTTTGAAATTCTCCAATTCTACAACTTTTTTTCGAATTTAAATATTTTCGCTCGTTGGAGATTGAATTCTAAAATCTCATTTCAGTTTTTAAGTATTTATATCCTTAGATTCTTGTTAGATATTCTGCTTTTGCTTCTTTGATGGGCTTGAATCCTTGAATCTTTCTAAATCACGTTACACTTCGATTATTGAACGATGCTTCTTGCTTTTTTTGTGCGATCTTCGCGGAACGAGGTGAAGATAGGCCCGCGAGGTTCGATTAGGGTTGCATGTGATTAGTACACTTTCTTTATCAAATAAAAATGTGTAAGAAATTGTTTCATTTATGACTCATATTTCATGAAACGGGAAGTTTTCCGCGTGTATCAAATAAAATATAAATATTTTGTGACTGTGATGTTTTGAAAACATTTCACACACAAAATCGAGTCAAATATATATGAAAATAAATGACAGAACATTATCGTTGCATTACGACACGTTTTTCAAAATCATATAAAAAATATAAATCGTTTCATTATCGTCGTTATTAAGTGCGTATAATTTTGCAAATAAATTTGAACGAGTTTGTTCGCGTTCAATTAATATCTCTCTCTCCTCCGACAATTAAGCGAAGCATTTTATTGCGCGCAAGAATAATCGGTTGGAGAGATAAAGTGTAAATGATGAATGCTCGGTAATGAATACGATTGAAAAAATATTCACAAATATTCTCTTTTCTATTAAATTTATTTTTCCCTCTTGATAAAATAGTGGATCAAAACGGATCTACCGGTGCGTTACGAGTAATGATAAATCGACGATATATATGTGGAAACAAATTTTTAATGGTTATTTATTAAAAGAAAAGTGTCTCAACCCTTTTGATACTTGTTATATATCACAAATTAATATTGGTTCGATGCGAAAGGGCAAAATCAGCCGCGCAACATTTCGCCTTTTTTGAGGCCGATTCCATCGGCCCATCAGCCGGTCGGACATAAAATCGTTAAGTGGGTCGACAGCAAGAAAGTTCGTCTGAGGCATTTCTACTTGCCATTGACTGTTTAGGGGTAAATTAAATTTGTCGAGGCGCGACGGAATAGAAACGTCGCGAAAACGTTTAACGTTTCCTATCGAGTAAAACGTTTTTTATCAAGATAATCGTAAAATTAAAAAATGCTAAAGTTCTTAAGTTTGTTTCGTCGTTAAAAAAAATTATAAATAGATAAATATATAATAAGAAATATGAATAAAAGTATATTGTGTGCCATGCTGAATGCAACATTTTCGCAAATAAGATGTATACACAATATATTCGGTTGATTTAGAAAGTTCCTTTGGATTTTTCGATAAGAATGAAAGACTAAAATCCGAAGAAACTTTCTAATGAACCCAATAAGTGCTTTTCATTTAAAGATTTGTACAATACAAATGTTGGTCTAATGATATTCTTTGTGTGGGTACGATCAGATTGTTTCTTGCAATATAACGCTGTATCAAAACGATCAAAATAGCTGGCCCCGATATTTCATCAAAATTAATCGCTGCGATAATAGACTGTTCGACGCGTTGTGTGTAAAATGCGCGGCGCGTCGTAATTGCGATCGATATAGGGTATCGGCAGACCGTGGTATTTGTGAAAAATCGGGGACGCGACGGGCTTCCGACTTGAAAAAGAGCCGGAAGTCATTGTGAAATATCGCATCGCTGTCGCGGATTAAATGTGTGTTAACAGCAGCACGGTGGTGCTCGGCAATCGATTCCGACGCGGATTCATCATTGAAACGCGCATCTATAATCGATGGACGCATTAACCCACTCGAGTCAGCTGCCCAATGTACCCGTCAAGCGTGATTGATCGGATATAAAGCTTCATCCGTAATCATCAAACAATACAGCCCAAGTGAAACGCATCGCGAGTGTAGCTGACGGATGAGAAATAATGTTGTAGCGATCCGCGCACG